TTGGACCCCTCTCAGTTCTGGCCCTGTCCCCTCCTGTCCCAGCTTCTCCCGTTATTTTTCCCACAGAATCACCCAGAAAAGCCTCCATCCCATCCTCGTCCCATCCCAAGGGATAAAACCCCGCTGAGAGGGGCGGAGCTGGCAGGGTCCGGGCGCTCCCACCCCGATCCCTCCTCAATCCCATTTCCCCAATTCCCAACAACCCCAGCACCCATGGGACCCCCACCCATGGCCAGGACGTGTCCCCAGAGGGGAGGTGACCCCTGGGGGTGGCCCTGACGGTGTCACACCCCTGTGCAGGTGATGTCCACGTGGGCGTGGCTGACCGCAATGGGCAGCTGGAGGTGGACGTGATCCAGGCCAGGGGGCTGATCCCAAAAATGGGCTCCAAGTGCATCCCCGGTACGCGGTTGTGGGGTCAGGGAGGGAGCGGGGCAGGGGCGGGGATCATCCCGGGGATTTTGGGATTGTTCTGGGATTCTGGGATCTGTCTGAGATTGTTCTGGGATCGTTCTGTGATTGTTATGTGTCCTGGGATCATCCCAGGATTCTGGGATTGTTCTGGGGTTCTGGGATTGTCCCAGGATTTCRGGATTGTTCGGTGATTCTGGGATTGTTCTGAGACCGTTCTGGGATTCTGGGATCATTTCAGGATCATTCCTGGATTATTCTGGGATCATTTTTGGATCATTTGGGGATGGTTCTGGGATCATTCTGGGATCATCCCGGGATCTCCCTGGGGTTCTGGGATCATTCCGGGATCATTCTGGGATCATTCTGGGATCATTCTGGGATCATTCTGGGATCATTCTGGGATCATTCCGAGATCACTCCGAGATAATTCCAGGATCATTCTGGGATTATTCTGGGATGGTTCCGGGATCATTCCAGGATCATTCCAGGATTGTTCTGGGATGGTTCCAGGATCACTCCGGGATCATTCTGGGATCTCCCCGGGGTTCTGGGATCATTCTGAGATCACTCCGGGATCATTCCAGGATCATTCTAGGATCATTCTGGGATCATTCTGGGATCATTCCGGGATCATTCTGGGATTGTTCTGGGATCATTCTGGGATTGTTCTGGGATGGTTCTGGGATCACTCCGGGATCATTCCGGGATCGTTCTGAGATCATTCCGGGATCACCCCGGGGTTCTGGGATCATTCCGGGATCCCCCCGGGTTCCAGGATCATTCTGGGATCGTTCCGGGATCATTCCGGGATTGTTCCGGGATCATTCCGGGATCATTCTGGGATCATTCCGGGATCATTCCGGGATCACTCTGGGATCCCCCCGGGTTCCAGGACCCCGCCCCACCCCCCTGTCCCCGTTCCCCACAGCCACCTACGTCAAGGTGTACGTGCTGGAGGCCGGGGTGTGCCTGGCCAAGAAGAGAACCAAAGCGGTGAAGAGAACGAGCGAGCCCTCGTTCCAACAG